CTGATCCCCCGGGGCGCAGGCAAGAAAGATGAACTGCGAACAAGCACTACAAACATCAAGGACAAGTCCAACGACATCATCATGCGGTCGACCTCGGAAACCTTGAACCCGAAAACGTTTTCATCTCTTGGGGGCGGATGTATATTTCCGCCGCCTTCTGCCGTGCTTCCGCCAGTTTCCGCCAGCGGAGGCGGCCTCGCTGTTCTTCCGCGGACCTTCCGCCGCCTTCCGCCGCGGAAGAGATGACAACTCCCTCGATCCTCGAATGTGCGGCCATCTTGGAACGCCTCATATATGAACAGAGCCCGCATCCACTAGTGCAGCTGTTGCCCTTTTGGGAATGACCGCCAAGATTGCATTCTAGCACATCCCCATGCTGGAAAGAAAGCCGCCATCCATCTGGGGGGGGACTCACACTTTGAAAGCGACGCGTGTAAGCGTTTGACATTCGCAATCGATGGTGCGAGTCGCTGCAGTGAGAACCAGATGTTCAACGATCTTCGCCCTCCATCCGTCGCCAGGATGGAGGAAAAGTAACGGGAGGAGGAGGAGGGAAAGGGTGGCGCGGAGTCAACCTCTCTTCGCTCCGCAGACGGGGCTGCGCATTCCAACCTCCTCCTCCTCTTCCTCCTCCTCGAGGCCGGGGGATTGTGGAACCCCTCGTCGTTTTGATATAGTTTTTATTGAGTGGAACGCTCCTTCATCTTTATAAACGTTGATGTTGTGTTTCCATTTTTCAGTTCGCCGTGATTTTCTCATAATATGCTTCTCTCGTTATATCGTTATCTCGTGTTCTCTCTCTCTCTCTCTTTGTCTCTCTCTGTCTATCTCCTGCACCAGGCCAATGCATGCCGATGCGATGCTAATCCATTGCCAACCAATGCCAATGCCCATGCAATGTGAATGGGGGAATCCTTTCACTCGGTGGATTTCAATCAGAATCCTTTGTGGACGGTGTCATTACGAATCCTTCTTCGGAGGATTCCAATAGGAATGCCTCTGTGGAGGGTTTCGATAAGGATCCTCCTGTGGAGGGTTTCACTCGGAATCCTTCTTGTGGGGGGTTCAGTAGGAGTCTGTCTGCGGAGGGAGCCATAGGACTCGCCAGCGCAATGCCAACGCAATGCCGAAGCAGTACCATCGCAATGCCAAACCAATGCCAAGGCGATCCCAATCCAGTGCCAATGCAATGCCAATGGGGGAGAGCCTTTTGTGGTAGATGTTCAGAGGAATCCTATTTCTGGAGGGTTTCAATAGGAATCGTTGTGCAAAGGGAGGCACAAGGACTCGCTGGCGCAATGCCAGAGCAATGCCAAAGCAGTGCCTAATCCAATGCCAATGAGGAAATCCTTTCACTCGGTGGATTTCAATCAGAATCCTTTGTGGACGGTGTCATTACGAATCCTTCTTCGGAGGATTTCAATAGGAATGCCTCTGTGGAAGGTGTCATAGGGATCCTCCTGTGCAAGGTTTCGCTCGGAATCTTTCTTGTGTGGGGTTCAATAGGAGTCCTCCTCTGGAGGGAGCCATAGGACTCGCCAGCGCAATGCCAACGCAATGCCGAAGCAGTACCATCGCAATGCCAAACTAATACCGAGGCGGTCCCAATCCAGTGCCACTGCAATGCCAATGGGGGAGAGCCTTTTGTGGTAGATGTTCAGAGGAATCCTATTTCTGGAGGGTTTCAATCGGAATCGCTGTGCGAAGGGAGGCACAAGGACTCGCTAGCGCAATGCCAGCGCAATGCCAAAGCAGTGCCCAATCCAATGCCAATGAGGAAATCCTTTCGCTCGGTGGATTTCAATCAGAATCCTTTGTGGACGGTGTCATTACGAATCCTTCTTCGGAGGATTTCAATCGGAATGCCTCTGCGGAGGGTTTCGATAGGGATCCTCCTGTGCAGGGTTTCACTCGGAGTCCTTCTGATGGGCGGTTCAGTAGGAGTCCTTCTGCGGAGGGAGCCATTAGGACTCGCCAGCGCAATGCCAACGCAATGTCGAAGCAGTGCCATCGTAACGCCAAACTGATATACCAAGGCGGTCCCACTCCAATGCCAATGCAATGCCAATGGGGGGAATCCTTTGTTATATATTCCAAAAAGAATCTTGATTGTGGAGGGTTTCAATCGGAATCGTTCTGCGAAGGGGGGCACTCGGACTCGCCAGCGCAATGCCAACGCAGTGCCAACGGAATGCCAAACCAACGCCAAGGCGATCCAAACTTAATGCCAATGCAACGCAACTGGGGTGGATTGCTTGTGGCATCGTTCGATAGCAATCTTTCTAAGAACCCTTCTGTGGATGATGTCATCCACTTAGGAATCCTTCTAAGGACCCTTCTTCGGCGGATTTCAATAGGCATCCTTCTGTGGAGGGATTCGCACGGAACCCTTCTGTGGAGGATTGCAATGTGAATCCTTATTGTGTGCGGGGGGGGGCCGTAGGCATCATTCTTGTGGGCGTATTCACTCGGAATCCTTCTGTGGAACGTATGGTTGGGA